TCACTTTTGCTATGCTTTAGCAAAGAGCCTGGCTGCATTGTGCCCTTGCTCTAGGGATCTGTGGAATTTTGAACTTCACAATGATGATTTAGGATATCTTGGAGAAGAAATTTTTAAGCCACAAAGCATTCAAGATTTGACCTGGCTGCTTCTAACAGCCTATGCTCATATGTGGAACTTACATTTAAAAAGAAGGCAGAGCATAAAAGTTTGGAAAATTTGCAGCCTGGCCATATGGTAAAAAAGAAAGCCCATTTTCAGAGGAGGATTTCAAGCAGGTTTCAGAAATTTGCATAAGTCAAAGGAAAGCAAGTGTTGATAGCCAAGACAATGGGGAGAAGGCCTCAAAGGCATTCCACAGACCTTGTTCTTTTTTCTTTTCTTTCTTTTCCTCTTGTAATAGATGGGGTCGTGCTTTGTTGACCAGGCTGGTCTTGAATTCCTGGCCTCAAGTGATCCTCCCATCTCGGTCTCCCAAAGTGCTAGGATTACATGCATAAGCCACCATGCCAGGCTTTCAGAGATCTTTGTGGCACCCTTCCCATCACAGGCATAGGAGGACTGAATGGTTTCTAGGGCCAGGACCAGGGTCCCACTGCCCTGTGCAGCCTTGGGACACTATTCCTCGCATCCCAGTCACTTCAGCTCTAGCTATGGCTCAAAGGGCCCCAAGTACAGCCCAAGCCACTGTTTCAGAGGCTGCAAGCCATAAGCTTTGGCAGTTTCCATGTGCTGTTAAGCCTGCTGGTGCACAGAGTGCAAGAGTTGAGGCTTGGGAGCCTCCGCCCACATTTCAGAAGCTGTATGAAAAAGATTTGATGTCCAGAAAGAAGCCTGCTGCTGCAGGGATTGGGCTCTCCTAGATAAACCCTACTAGGGCTGTACAGAAGGGAAATGTAGAATTGGAGCCCCCACACAGGGTCCCCACTGGGCCACTGCCTAATGGAGCTGTGGGAAGTGAGTCATCACCCTACAGACCTTGGAATGGTAGAGTCACTGGCAGCTTGCACCCTGAGCCTGGAAAAGCCACAGGCACTCAACACCAGCCTGCAAAGTAGCCTTGGGGGCTGAACCCTGCAAAGTCACAGGGGCAGAGCCATCCATGTCTTTGGGAACCCACCCCTTGCATCAGTGTGCCCTGGATGTGAGACACGGAATCAAAGGAAATTATTTTGGAGCTCTAAGATGTAATGATTGCCTTGCTGGGTTTCAGGCTTGCGTGAAGCCAGTAGCCCTTTCTTTTAGCCCCTTTTGGAATAGAAGTATTTATCTAATTCCTGAACCCCATTGTATCTTGGGGGTAGCTAACTTCTTTTTTATTTTACAAACTCATAGGCAGAAAGGACTAGGCTTGTCTCAGATGAGACTTTGAACTTTGGACTTTTTAGTTAATGCTGGAATGAGTTTAAGACTTTGGGGAACTGTTAGGAAGGCATGATTATATTTTGAAATAAGGTAGAGGTTAGAAAAGTTTGCAGGGCTCAGAAGAAGATAGAGAGATGTGGGAAAGTTTAGAACTTCCCAGAGACTTGTTGAATGGCTTTGACCAAAATGCTGATAATGTGTGGACAATGAAGTACAGGCTGAAGTGGTCTCAGATGGAGATGGGGAACTTCTTGGGAACTAGAGCAAAAGTCCCTCTTGCTATGCTTTAGTGAAGAGACTGGTATCATTTTGCCTCTGCCCTAGAGATCTGAGGAATTTGAATTTGAGAAAAATTATCTGAAACTGGAACTTATGTTTGAAAAGGAAGCAGAGCATAAACATTCAGAAAATTTGCAGCCTGACAATGTGATAGAAAAGCAAAACCCAGTCTCAGGTATTTTTTTTAATAGCAGTGTGAGAACAGATTAATATACTGCCGCTCAAACTAACACATCACTGGGGACAGGGTGATAATAAAGAAGTAGCAGCATCAGTTTCAAGAGAGCAAAGACTTCCTCCAAATCCCTCAGCAGACCTCTGTTCACTTTTTATTAGCAGAATAGTGTCGGAAGGCCACACCTCTGTAAAGGAATCTGGGAAAATTAGCATTCCAAGCTCCATAGCAAAGGAAGCAGATGTTAAAAGATTGTTGAATGCACCAATCTAGCGAATATCCTTCAAATACCTATTCCTGACCAATGAATCCCTATGGTCAACCAGACTTTGGTCTTAATTTTTTACCTCAGTGTCAGGAGACAGCAGTGTTCTGTGATCAACTCAAGGACCACATGAAATAGAACTGCCACTCCCAAAAACACTAACCTTACCAAAGAAAGGATATAGAAAAGCACCCTGTAAAGAAAGCATTAGCATTACCACAATGATTAAAAAGATCAATAAAATACACACACATATACACATAGACACACACATACACACACAGACACACACACACACACACACACACACACACACACACACACACACACACACCAAGCTGCAAAACATTGGCAATTCTTTAAAAATCACACCATTGTTTCTCTTGTAGGGTAGAGGTACAGAGAACAGAATCACTTTCATTTCTTTATGTATCTCCCAAAAATGGTTGAACGGTTGCAGTTGATTTTATTCTTTTCTTTGGCTTTTCTTTCAGTATCTTTTAACTAGTAAAGAAAATTTTAAATTATTAATAGTAATAACAAATTTTTGTTAAAGGAAGATATGGGATTAATACAGATCTTTTAAAAAGGGTGATCCTACAATGATGCCTTATCATCATGAGGCAATATTTATTAGGAAGGGCATCAAAGAGAAAAAAACTGGAAAAAGAAAGGATCATGAATAATGAAAACTAATCTCTCCCATTTAATTTTCCCTACCTCCGTCTGGGTGAAATTACACCTACTAAATATTGACTTTGCTTCTAAGGCATGTGACGTATTTTATTTGACATAGACCACTACGTTTAACCTTCGGATAAGGATGGAGCCAGCACATCTCATTCAGTGACACAGAAGAAAGCGATGCATAAAGAAGTGAAGTAATGAACCTGGGCCCAGTTGTCACATACTGATTGCCTCACAGATTCCTCTGCCACCTATGGGAGGCCTGGGTGACTGAGTTTGCTGTGGCTGTTCTGCAGCCAGTTTATACTCCTACCCAAAGAGAAGGGGTTCTTTACCTAGAGCACTGTGAACATGGATGAGGAAAAAAAATTATTTTCTTTTTTTTTTTTACAAACCCCTAATTTAAATTTCTATCATAATGCAGAGCACAAGCCACAGTACTTTTAGCAGACCGATGAATCTGTCACCAATCAAAAGGCCAAATATTTCCATATCACATTGCATTGTTGTTGGATCCTTGCCATATCATTTACTAACACCTCTACTTCAAAATCACAGCAGCTATTAGACCTACTGTAACGTAACCAGGTTTCAATTAAATTAGTTCTTTGTAATCCTATATATTTCATTTTATGCATTCAAAAACATTCTTCTGACTTCCAAAGGGATCCATGGCACCAAAAAAAGAAAAAAAGATGAAAATCCTCTACATAGAGTTATCTCAAGTACTGGGGCATCTGTGGGAGCCTCTGAAGACCTTCCTAACATCTTCCTTAGGTCTTAGGGGAAAAAAACATTTTTGTTTCAGGACTGCCCTGGTGTATGACTAGAAAACATCGGACCTATGGCTTGGGGTACAGGTTTGTCCTGTGTTATAAACATAGGATGAATCAAGTCTTGAATCTTCATTTGGTGCTTTTCTTCTTCCAGGGGACTCTCAAGAGAACTCTCTACTCTCACTGCTATTGGAGAGCATCACACATTGACTGGGTCACACACAAAGCAATTGTCATTTCTCCCATGTAATCACAGATGCTGCAGCAACACAATAGCTCACAGTCAACATTCCAAGATGCAATCAATAAAACTAGAAGCCAAGTGAAAAGGTTAAAACCTATCGGTGTTTCCTCTTCACCTGTTGAAATACTCCCTTCTTAAAGAGAAAATTACAGGTATTTCCTTTTTTTCCCCAGAGATAAGGTCTCTCTCTGTCACCCAGGCTGGAATGCAGTAGCACCATCATAGCTCACCTCAGATCCGACCTCCTGGGCTCAGGCCAGCCTCCCACCTCAGCCTTTCAAGTAGCTGGGACCACAGGCCTGCACAAGATGCCCAGTTAATTGTTTTAAGTTTTTGTAGATATAGAGTCTGGCTGCCTTGCCCAGGCTGATCTTGAATGCCTGGCCTCAAGCAATCTTCCCACCTTGGCCTCCCAAGGGTATTTCTTCCACCACACAAATTAGCTGTCACTTTTGGTGTTTTCCTATGGGTTTTGAAGTTAAACAGAACTGATTTTGAATACCAGCTCTTCTACTATCTACTGTGAATGACCACAAGCAGATATCCTTCCTGAGCTTTGGATTTTTTCATCTGAACAACCTTCAGTGGGTTACCCATTCATTCATTCATGCACTCATTAGTCAGTAAATACTTTTTCAGCATGTGCTACAAGCTATCTCTGTGAAGGTCCTTAACAGATAATATAGAAAAGAAGGAACTCAAATAAACCAATATCACACTGTACGAACTTGAACTCTCAAAACCTGAATGTTGAACTCTCAAGACAAAAATCCACAAGTCATTCAGAAATAGTGGGCCCATTTTGTAATGTCTTAGAACTTGGTATAAAACAAAATAGGGTTTCACAGCAGCACAGAGCAGGTAGGGAGGAAGGAAATTAAAGGTTTAGCAGATAGGCTGGGCACAGTGGCTCATGCCTGTAATCCCAGCACTTTGGGAGGCTGAGGCAGGCAGATCATGTGAGATCAGTATTTCAAGACCAGGCTGACCAATATGGTGAAACCCCATCTCTACTAAAAATACAAAACTAAGCTGGGCATGGTGTCTGGCACCTGTAATCACAGCTACTCAGGAGGCTGAGGAAGGAGAATCACTTGAACTCAGGAGGCGGAGGTTGCAGTGAGCCACGATCACGCCACTGCACTCCAGCCTGGGTGACAGAGAGAGACTCCATCTCAAAAAAAATAAATAAATATCCAGCAGATAGGCCTCAGAACCAGGTTAGGACAGCCACTCGATGACAGACCCAGCCAACATAAGGACACGCGCTGGGCACAATAAAAACAATATCAGTTGTTGAAACAAAGGTCCACCAAGAAAATCCAAAAGAAGAGTGGAGGAGGGTTCTCAGCACACGGGTAAAAATAGGAGCTATAAATAAAGGGAAAAGAAGAGTGACATTATAACATTTGTCCAGGGTAAAAGCAGAGACTTCATGACCCAGCTCAGAAGTCAAGGCAGGGTCCTGGCCCTTCGGAAAACGCTTGGCAAGAACAAGGCAATTTAAGAGGCACCAGAGCTGTCAACCAGAGCAGGTAGCAATGCACACAGGAAGTAGACAGGATGAGGCACGGGGAATAGAACTGGAGCCCAGTAGTCACTGGAACTTGAAACCTGGGCTTAGAGTCAGGCAATCTGGCTGAAGCCCAGAGGTGTAGCCAAATCCCAGGTTTAGGAAAATAATTCATGCTAAGTAGAGAGTAAGGAACCTAAGACTGTGATGTCCGGCCTCCATGAAAACTGGCTTTGAACCTGGGTCAAGATGAGCTCAGTAGGCAAGAGGCTTCTGGTACCAGCTGTGAAACACCAGAAATGGTAAAGTAGAGGAAGTGATGATGGGAAGGGGTTAAGTCAACCAGTAGTTCAACTTTAAAATGTGGTCAAGTAAAGATGCATATGAGGCTCCCCTACCACTTTCCTAGTCCACTTACTACCAATCAAGGTCCTTCCTATCTTGGAAATATCCAAGCACCCAAAGGTTTACTGGGTCAGGATTTGCCAAGAAAAAATGCATTAGCCTGATTACACTGTGAAATCTTTTAGAGAAGCTCTATGTTAGCGACTAATAGATGTTGCCAAAGAATATCCTGTGAAAAATATTAACATATCAGAGATGAATCCATTTCAAAAAGCAGTTACTCCTCAAAACTAGCACACAAAAATTATAAGAAGCAATATAATTTGTTATATCTAATAATATGGTTCGCCTGTGTCCTCACCCAAATCTCATCCTGAATTGTAGCTCCCATAATTGCCACATGTTGTGGGAGGGACCCAGTGGGAGACAACTGAATCACAGGCAGTATCCCCCATACTGTAGTGAATAAGTCTCATAAGATCTGATGGTTTTATAAGCGGTTTCCTCTTTCCATTGCTCTCTTTCTCTCTTTGCCTGCCACCATGTAAGATGTGCCTTTTTCCTTCCACCATGACTGTAAGGCCCCCCCAGCCACGTGGAACTGTGAGTCCCCTAAACCTCTTTCCTTTACTATCACCTAGTCTTGGATATGTCTTTATTAGCAGTGTGAGAACAGATTAATACATCTAGACTTAAACAATTTGGGTAAAACATTTGCAAACCTGAATCATGAGTTTGTACTTTAAAAACTCAGCCTACCTAGTGGGTGCAGTGACTCATGCCTGTAATCCCAGCACTTTGGGAGGCTGAAGCAGGCCAATCACCTGAAGTCAGGAGTTTGAGATCAGCCTAGCCAACATGGTAAAAATCCCGTCTCTATCAAAAATACAAAAAATTAGCCAGGCATGGCTGTGCATGTCTGTAATCCCCACTACTTGGGAGGCTGAGGCAGGAGAATGGCTTGAACCCAGGAGGTAGAAGCTGCAGTGAGCCGAGATTGCACCATTGCACCCCAGCCTGGGCAAAAAGAGCGAAACCCCATCTCAAAAAAAAAAAAAAACAAAACAAAAAACTCAGCTTACAATCCTTCCCAAGGCCAACCAATGTCCTCTGTTTCAACAGCGCAACCTTATACATCATGCCAAGCAATTTCTTAATATTTTTATTGTGATCTTTTTATATGACAGGCCAAAGTTGAAGATGTCTTTTAAAGTTGGATGGCCTTCATTTTCAAAGAAGGGAACATATTGAATTTACAAAAATATGCTTTACTTTATCATAGGGAAATCACCAACCTTAAATGGTATGTCACTGTGATACAAAAGAGTGGGAGGTAGTATGCAGAAATGAACATATTTGCATAAGACTTCTGAGATTATGGTAATTTTAAATTTTTTCAAAAAATTTTTTTCAAATTTTCCTTTAATGCTGTTATGTCATCTTTCCAAGAACATATATATTCAAATGCCCTTTTTTTCTTGACTCAGTATGAATTAGAAAATTGACCTGATCTAGCCTATGATGAACTACACCATGTGATACCAACCCCATAACTTAATTGCAAGTGTTACTTGGACACCTTTGCTGTTATTTTAGGCTCTTGTTACTTATCCACCACTAAGCAGTTCTTCTGACTTTGTTGTCTAAATGCTCCCCTAAAGTACTTTAAAATTAAAATGCTTTTTTAGAGCAAAATTCCTGGAAATTGTATAACATCCCCACACACACACTTCTTATGACACTGATTCTAAAAGTCACAGAAGGTGCTATGAGGGATCCCTCTGGGACTGCAGAAGGGACCTTTACCTTACCATCACATCTGAGAGTCTAACAGCAATACTATTATTTTCTTTTAAAGGAACAATTTACCTTATGGTCAGAGAAATATAAACTTCTGCTTGATTAATACAGCAGTCCTCAGAGCTTTCTCCTTCTAGCATGAAGTTTAGGCTGCCGGCTAAACATGTAAGCTTAAATTCTAGAATCCCACATAAAAATGTCCATATGTTCTTTCAAAAATGAAAATCTTTCCAATCAAAAACTGATTTTGGCAGTATCTGCACTTGTAATTGGCAAACAGTAAAATGACTTCAGTAAAAGTTGCTTTCTAATTTTTAACATGCAACCAAGGATCTTAGGCAAGCATGTCTGTTATAGGTTAAATTGTCTCTCCCAAAAAGATACGTTGAAATTCTTAACCCTGGTCCCTGTGAATGTGACCTTATTTGGAAACAGGGCCTTTGCAGATGTATTCAAGGTAAGATGAGGTCATTAGTGTGAACCCTAACCCAATATGACTGTTTTCCTTATAAAGTGAGGAAATGTCATATGAAGAGAGACACACAGGAAGCTTGCCATGTGACGAAAGAGGCAGAGATTAAAGCGCTGTAGCTGCAAACCAAAGACAGGAAGGATTATTTGCAAGCCACCCAGAAGCCAGGAAGAGGCAAGTAAGGCTTCTCCTCCACGTTTCTGAGGGAGCAGGACACTGCTGACACCTTGATTTCAGGACATCTGGCTTCCAGAACTATGACACAATAAATTTCTGTTGTTTTTGAGCCACACAGTTTGTGCTACTTTGTTTCAGCAACCTTTGGAAACTAATAGAGTATTTCTACTTCTTCACGCCATTTTTCTCATCTAGGTGAGATTTTTGGTCCACTTTTCCTTGAAAGGGTCTTGTTCGTTCAACTACTACAGTTGGAGTGCTAAAGAAAGAACCTCATATAATACATGCAATTGAGGGGTTTAGTATTTAATATGTATAACAAATTGTCCCTGTTGCTAGGATTGCCAGATTAAAAACAGGATGCTTCATTAAATTTTAATTTCACATAAACAATGAACAATATTATAGTACAAGTATGCCCCAAATCATGCATAGGGCAGACTTATATTAAAAATTATTCATTGTTCATCTGAAATTCAAATTTAACTGGGTGTCCCACATTTTATTTGTTAAATCTGGCAGCCCTACATACTACTTCATGGACGGAAGGCCTGATTCTGGAACATTCACTTACTTGCCATTTGTTTCCAGTCCTTGAGACAACAAGACAAGCTACCACATTTTGAATGCTACACAGCCCACCTTTCCTCTTCAGATTCAAGTTCCTCCAGTTTAATTTGTGGACACTGTTAACAATTATAGATGGATGATGATTGCTACAATGAGTTTGCTTTGGATAAGCACCATGACATCCATGTAGCTTTTATAAAATGCTACACAATCAATAAAAAGAAATTAGAACCATCAATTCTAGGTGTAAAGATGTAATCAGCTTGCAGGGGCAATTTTAATTCCTTATTTCAATGTTGTGGCCAGCATTAGAATATAAAATGAGCATGAAAGGAATTTTTAAGCTTTTAAACATCGCTAAATTAATTATTTTTTACAAAAATATAATCTATCCCTCCATGGATAATGCCGTTATTATGAGACTTCGTAATCTGCTACTTAAATCTGATTTCTTATTCTCCCCAGACCACTGCTCCTTCATCTGTAAAATGAATGAGGTAGAAGACACAATTCCAGGGCACCTGTCAGGATTCTGGAGTTCGCCACAGGCTTAGTCCGCCTTCTTCTCTATTTCCTTTTGTCTCCCCTCAGAGGCCACCCCACTTCCCAGCAAAGTTCCTCTTCCCCTGGGTGGGAGAAGGCCTTTTCAAGCATAACGGAAACCACAGAAGAAACTTATTAAATTTGACTGTGCACATCAAAAGACTCCATGAATAAAATTAGAAGGCAAATGACAAACTGGAAAAAAATACCTGCTTCGTAAAATATAGAAAATTATTAACATGCCAAAACAATTTGGACAAAGGACATAATTTACATACACACACACACACACACACACACACACCAAAGAGAGAAACAATAAGCATGAAAATGTTTCATCTATTGGTAATTAAAGAAACATAAATTAAAGAAAGCACCATTTGCCTATCAAATTGACAACATTCTTTTAAGAAAACAATTCAGTGTTAGAAAAGTGTACTCTTATACACTGCTGTTGTGTAAGGTGATATACTCATTTTAGAAACCAATCTCACAATTCATATCAAAGCTCTTAAAATCTACAAATGTTTTGATTCATCGATTACACTTCCAGGAATTATGTTTAAAGATTCAGCTAAGACCTCATTTGCTATATCATTGGTGACAGCAATAATTTGGAAACAACCTGAATTTATGATTCAATGAATTGTAATACAACCATATGGTAGAATACTATGCAGCTATTTAAAAAGTATATGATACAATGAGATACTATCTAACACCAGGCAGAATGGCTATTATTAAAAAGAAAAAATAACAGATGTTGATGAGGTTGTGGAGAAAAAGGAATGCTTATACACTGTTGGTGGCAGTGTAAATTAGTTCAGCCACTGTGGAAAACAATGTGGCAATTCCTCACAGACCTAAAGACAGAATACCATTCAACCCAGCAATTCCATTACTGGGTATATACCCAAAGGAATATAAATCATTCTATTATAAAGACACATACAGGCATAGGTTCACTGCAGCACTATTACAGTAGCAAAGACTTGGAATCAACCTAAATGTCCATCAATAACAGACTGGATAAAGAAATGTGGTACATATACACCATGGAATACTATGCAGCCATAAAAAATAATGAAACTGTGTCTTTTGCAGAGACACAGATGGAGCTGGAGGCCATTATCCTTAGCAAACTAACACAGGAACAGAAAACCAAAGATTGCATCTTCTTATAAGTGAGAGCTAAATGATGAGAACTCATGGACACACAGAGAGGAACAACACACAGTGGGCTTTTCAGAGGGTGAAGGGTGGGAGAAGGAGAAGATCAGGAAAAATAACTAATGGATTCTAGGCTTAATACCTGAGTGATGAAATAATCTGTACAACAGACTACCATGACACAACTTTAACAGAAACCACAAACATGCACTTGTACCCTTGAAAACTTTTTTTAAAAAGCATGTGATAGAAGAATACTTAATGACATGAAATATTTTCATAGTATATTAGATTTTAAAGAGCTCACCAACAGTATGATTCCATTGTTCTAAAAGAAAATATCTATACATAACATATAACTCTAGATAAAAGAATATAGCAATATACAAAATAATCATGATAAACAGTTAAGTATTTCTAGGCAGTGGGATTATGAGCTTTTCCCCCTACTTTCCAAGTTTTCCATAAGTATCTACTGCTTTTTATGTTAAGAAAAAAAATAACAAATACTATATTTCTTAATTCATTTATCTTAAAACCTGCTCTTTGTTGGGCTGCAGTTGGTTAATCTAATAAACCATGACTATTAATATACTGGTTGGTAAAAATAACGCTTTAACCTAGTGAACTACTTTTAAATGCTTCATTGCAAAAAGCAGAAATCCAAGTTTGAACTAGATTAAGCCAAAAGAGGAATTATAAAAAGTAAAGTCATATAAGAATATGGGTTCTTAACAATAAATAATGTCACTGGGGTCACAGGGAATGAAAGTTTCCAAAAGAAGAACAAGTTCCAGAAAAGAGAAGGCTAGCTAGGAAAGATATATTAGATACCCACCGCACCAGTTACAGCAAAGGTTTCATTAGCAGGCGCTGAATGGTTTCTTTCGCAAACTTCCAGTCTTAGACGGGTTCCCAAACAGACTCTGAGGTGGAGAGTTGAGTGTTTTCAGGAGCACTCTGCTCTCCACCTCACTTGTAAGGAGGTTAATAAGCTGCTTCACCTGTAAGGAGTTGAGTACGGCAGGCGGGGTTAAAGGGAAGAGCTGACAGCAAAGCAGTTGCAGCTGAGATACCAGCCCATCTACAGGGAGCTCTGGGTTGGGATGGCCCTGCAGAAGCTGCTCCAAACTGAAGCAAGCAGGTAGACGTAAATGTTTAAGTTTAGTTGTTCCGGATCTGAATTCAGCTAAACTTAATAAACATTTATAGAACTCTCCACTTCAAATACACAAAATATACACTCTTATCAGTACCACATCACACCTGCTCTAAAAGTGAAGTAAATCATTCCTTAATAATTATATAGCATTTCACAGGTTTAAATGAAATATTGGTTGGCTGCTTGTTTGTTATTTTCTTCCCTCATTTCTTCCTGTCTCTATTATTAAGCACAATTATTGGCATAAAAGAGGTTTTCAATACCCATTTTTAGACTGCATTCTAGCCTGGGCAATAAAGCAATACTCCTGTTCTCACTCCCTCTTCCTCTTCCTTCCTCTCCTTCATTCTTTTTTTTCTTTCTTTTTCTTTAAAAAAAAAAAAAAAGGAAAATGTACGGTAAAAATGCAATATAATCATCTTATACAGACCCCATCATTTGTGCAGTCTGTCATTGATCAAAATGTCATTACGTAGCATATGACTATATTATGTAAATTTAGAGAAGAGCAAAATAAGAGATAGGGAATCTTTTTGAATGGTGTAAAACTTGAGAGATTCTCTACATTGTTAGGTTGTGGGAAAGAAGCATAAAGTAACAGCCATATTGATTCATTTGTTTATTCATTTATTCACTCAACAACCGAGAAATATCCTGTCCTTCTATTCTTTGTCTTCCTTCTGTTACAAGGAGATATGTGCCTTGCTGCTACTAGGATCAATCTTTCACTGTGAACTATAATAATCCTAGACAAAGTTTTCTTCATTGACTTTACACCTGTGATTCTCACTCTTTCCTATTTCATTAAAAAAAAAGCAGGTAGACATTTGTACAGCCACATCAGCCAAAAGGAGGCATAAGCTTGGGTGAGGCAGTAACCTGTGTCCGAGGTAAATTGCAGTGAAGGACACAGCTGTGAGCCTGGGAGCCAGGGGAGTGCCATCCCTGAGGAGGGAATCAGGCTGGGGCGCCACAGTGTGTCAATATAGTAGAGCACAGCTGATCTCACTCCCACCTCCTTTCCAAAAGCATAGTAATGAGAAATTTAAAATATTTCAAACGGATAGCAGTGCTGAAAAATAAAATAAGTTCATTTGTGACCCAGAAAAGAAATCTGAAGACAAGTAACAGTGGAAAACAAAGACCTACCTACTGGGCTTGGAGATCAAAAACAGGCAATGCTGTCTACAGCCATGAGGCCAGGAAGGAATATGTGTGGAACCAGGAGATGGTGGAGGCTCCTAGCACCGCCATACCCATTGGTAAAATATGAATAGAAGACTTAGCCACTTGATTCATTCAGGAAAAGTAAAGGCGCACATGCAATAGAAATAGGAGTTTGGATCACCCACCAGGTTAAAAAAAAAAAAAATCACAACCTGCTGCCTGAGGGCAAAGGGAACACAGAATAAATGGTAGAAAAAAAGGATTATAAATACCAACTCTATTCTTCTGGCCAGTTGCATAAATGAGGACTGTAGTAGCAATATATTATATATTTTCTTCTTTACTTCTTAATCTATACATTTTTTGATCCACTTTTTCCCCATTTTATATAAGGTATGTTGTGTGATTAACTTTATAATACAGTCTTTGAGATATAGGATATCAAGCTGGGATTCTAACCAAATTAAAACAGGTATGATCACCACTCAGAATCAATGATGAGCATGTATCCTGAACCAAGGAGGATGATGAATGCAGCTCCGCAAGCTGGATCTAAAGGGGTTGGGCGGAGGCAACCAACATCCCCCAGAGGTGGCGGCATTGACTGATAGGATGCTACATTTCACTGTTCTGGGGAGAAAATGTGTTTCCATTGGACCCACAGTCAACTGTGAAACCTTAGACAGGGACATGTGATTGTTGTGGAAAACATAAATATGGGTAAAAGTGTGTAAATAAATGCTAAACACCTAACATTTCATCAAATTGATAAACCACAATTTACCCTTACAATGTGAAACTGTACAATATGGTCCCCATATTTTTAGGTTGCAATTTAAGTTCTTTTTAGTACTTGCCATTACAAATTATGTAGTGATAACACTTTCCATTTTTGGCACTTTTTAATAGATTCCTAGAATTGAGATCCAAGGACTAGTTTCTAATCTTCTCAGCCTTCCTCTCTGCAGATGAGTTCTCTTTTTCTTTTTGGCAGAGTAGCCAATGAAATGTTCATAACAGCACTGTTTACAATAGCAAAGACCTGGAACCAACCCAAATGCCCATCAACGATAGACTGAACAAGGAAAATGTGGTACATATATACCATGGAATACTATGCAGCCATAAAAAACGATGAGTTCATGTCCTTTGTGGATGAATCTGGAAACCATCATTCTCAGCAAACTGACACAAGAACAGAAAATCAAACACCACATATTCTCACTCATAGGTGGGTGTTGAACAATGAGAACACATGGACACAGGGAGGGGAGCATCACACACTGGGGTCTGTTGGGGGAAACAAGGGAGGGACAGTGGGGGGGATGGGGAGATAGGGGAGGGATAACATGAGGAGAAATGCCAGATGTAGGTGACGGGGGGATGAAGGCAGCAAACCACATTACCATGTGTGTACCTATGCAACAATCCTGCATGATCTGCACATGTACCCCAGAACCTAAAGTACAATTTAAAAAAAAAAAAAAAAGAAAGGACCCAGGGTCAGGAAACCATCCGATAATGGCACTCTAGCGCCTCCATCTCAACACTTGTTCATTGGCGACTTCCCCAACTCTCCATGCTAAAATCTTCATACTCAAAAGAGGGAAGGAGAGAAGGAAGGAACTTCTGCCCACAGGGGCTATTACTCTTAATCACTCATTCAACAAACTTTTATGGGAAACTATTGAACATCACGCTAACAGTGTTTCTTTCCCACAAAATAAAACTTTAGCTTTCTCCTAGAAAGTATACAAGATTTCACAATATACCTTCTGTGTATTAACATCAGTCCTCTATCTTCTTTTTTTTTTTTTTTGCCTCTTTTTTCACCTATTCCAAATTTCTTTAACCATACTGCATTGTGGCATACCTTGAATTCTTTCTAAGACAAAAAGGTGAAAAAGTAAATTAAAAGTATACCTGTATACTGGGCACAGTGGCTCATACCTATATCCCAGCTACTCAGGACATGGGAGGCTGAGGAGAGATGATCACTTGAGCCCGGAGTTCAAGGCTGAAGTGAACTGTGATTGCGCCACTTCACTCCAGCCTAAGCAACAGAGTGAGACACTGTCTCTTTAAAAATGAAATAAAATAAGAGAGAATATTTGTATACCTATGACCACATTAAGGTAGTACCAAACTTAGGGTCATTTAAGCAACAAAGACATCTAATTATTTCAAGTACGATGAAATCTGAAGGCACGTAGTTCAAGAATTGGTCCAGCAACTTGTGATGTCATCCAGGACCTAGGCACTTTCCATCTTCTGGCTCTGACCTGTTCACCATATTGGTTTTCACCCTTTGGTTGATTGTCTCACAGAAGTAAGATCACTGCAACAACTCCAAATATCATGTCCTCACACCACAGGGCACAGAACAGGAAGAGAAAAAAAATGCCCTCCTCATACAAATCTAACACGGAGAAAGATCTTCTCCCAAAACACCCTGGAAGAATTATTTTTACATCTCATTAGTCAAAATGGAGTCATATAAATACGATTCACTGTTGAGAAAAGGGGAATCTGTCATTTTCAGCTTCACTTAAGAGGTGTGTTTTCCAGAATGGAAGAGGTAGTAGAAAATGTTTACTGAGTAGACAATCAAGGATCTGTTATGGATACAGGATAGATGGATGGGGTTGGGAGTGAGTAGATGGGTGAATATATACATACATACATACCTATATATATTTATCTATATATAATATAGATAAAGTCTTTTTCTAAAACTGTAAAGCACACATTTCTACCTTCAAGATTACTATCAACTATGTATCACATGGCTTATAATATTCACAGACATTCTGCCTCACCCACTCCCTTCTCTCTCACACACAGGAAGCCTCAAACTTCCTGCAATATCTTTCCTAATATTTTTATTTCAACATTGTCAGTGATGCAATACCTAATTGTTCTTTGTTGGGTATGGTTGACACGCCCCAGACATATTTACAAAATCTTGTTCCTCAGTGATACACCCTTTGTTAAATAACTACCAAACTTGTCTGGAAGTCTAATGAGTCACAGTGAATAAGTTGCTATATGTAATTGAGTAAGAAAAAAATTCAATAAGAACCTTAATAGTTAAACAGAATTATAAAATACCTATTTATTAAAATATAATACTCTACCATCTGCTAACCACTTTCATATTCATTCTCCTATTTAATCTCCACAATGACCCTGTTCAGTTAGCATCACTATTAGCATTTTATAGATGAAGAAATAACTGATTATTAAAATTAAGTGACCTTGGCCAGTCACAAATAATAAAGGACAGATCAGGACTTTAACCTACTGTCCAGAGACATTATACCAATTACTTTTTGGTTCTACATCAAGTAGGAAAGAATCCAGTAATTTCTCATAGTTTGCTGTATGCCTGCATTTTTAAGAATTACCAGACTTTAGGCAGATCACTTAAAGTCTCTGTGGTCCTTAGTATTTTGTTCTGTAAAATTAGGGATGTAAACAGGTGAAAGTTACCAGCCACTAAGAAAGCAATCAGAAGACAAGGATCATCAGCAAATCTCTGAGCCTTACCTGAACAATGTTGGAACAATTACCACTGCCACAATTCCTCTTCTTCCAACCATTACACCTCATTCATACATTCAATCAGAACATATTTATGAAGCACCTGCTGTGAGCAAATAATTTTCAGGGGAAAAGATAAAGCAACAGGAATAGAGTTTTTCCCTTATGCCTAAGACTTCACTGCCAATAACTTCACCCCTGCCCAGATTATCACAATTTCATGGAGAGATTAAAAGCAGTAGATTTCTGAGCTTTCTTCATGTCCTAAAAGGCCATGAATCTATGGCTTCAAACATGATAAATCAAGTTAAGAGAGTGATTACAGGAAAGGGAGACCTGTAGAGAGAGAGGTAATCAGGGAAAGGGAGAGACCAAAGCCAGAAGTAACAGCTCACTGTTTCCCATTAACACTTCTTCGATTACACAGAGAATTTGAACAGGGTCCAGGTAGAGCCAGCACTTTCACAGACCCAAAAGTGGCCCCATCCTGTCAGCCACAAGTCCCCACTGGCCCACTGTGTCTTGCTCACTAGATTAATTCCAGAGCCT